TGCTATGCTTCAAATCCTTGAAACTCCTTCCTAGAGCTTCAAAATGTGAGATAATATAATTGTACTCTTCTTGGTGGCATTACTGGTCCCAATATGGATAAGCCGGAAGGTTGTTTCAGTGGGCTTGATAGGTTTTAGCAGCTGAGATGTATGTTCTTATAAAGAGACTAAATATAGTCTTAGCATAACAACAGACAAGTTCAAAGTTAACCCAAACTTCCAGTTTGACTAATAAACAGAATTCCACACCAGCTAGCACATAACAGTCATATATATCAGAAGGATGAAATCATACTCATTGTAGAATATAGAAAATTGGTGAGTACTTTCCAAAGGAATGTCCTTTCAGAAATTTTGTTCCGGATTGCTGCTGCATTTACAAAATATTCTCTCCCACATACAGAAGTGTGATTACTCTCTTAAAGAGAAGGGTTATTTTTAGCCTCATTCTTCAGGTTTTCCTTTGTTTGGAAATAGTTGTGCCTTGTATTAATTTTTTGTGTAATCTACAAGTAACCTTATATGTTACTTGCTAAGGTACATACAGAATCAACCATTTAGTTAGAAATGCTTTTAAAATTGAAGTAAGGTGAAAAATCAATGACAGAGATGTTTATGAGTGAAAATAATTTATAGTCTGCCAGGAATTTGTAATTAAGAACTAAAACTTTATTCCAGTGGTTTTGATAGAGAGGAAGTTCCATACTAGTTTTGAAGTGAATCATGGCATACTATTTCTCTGATAAAACAGAAAATATTATGTCCCCCAACAGGTGCTGTATTAGATACCCACACTGGTAAAGTATTAGTTGTTCAAGACAAAAATAAAGTAAGTACTTCACATTATTTATAATGTATTTAATTTGATTTGGATTAAGAGGCCTTTTCCTTGAGCAAAAGGCTTTTACTGCTTTAGACAAAGAATTTTATGTGAAGAAAAAAAAATACTTGAGATCCAGCAATGTGCTTTTCATTTTAGCTCAAGATGTAATATAATCCTTTACATGGATTGCTGCACACTTTCTCAAATTATGTGTTTATGCCAAGATAGGATTATGCAAAGTCTTGAACCAACTTTAAGTTCCTATGTCTTAATTCCATTCTTCTAATATGAATACATATTATATTGTTAAGCAACCCTATTAATTTTTTCTCAGCATAAGTTAATAATGGTTAAATAAACTTCATTCCATTTCCATCTGCAGTTAAAATGACAGATAAGATGAATACTCATTCTTTTCTGTCAGTTTAAATCCAAAATCAATTGGAATAGCAATGAGCTGATTTCCTCGCCAATTCTATTTTTAGAAAGCAAAGCTAAATTTTGAAAGTTTCTGAATGTTAAATTTCACTGAGAAGGTTTTTTTTTTTTAACTGAAACTTAATATTGGCATCTTTTTTTTTTTTTTTTTGGCCAATGCATTCTCCGTACTTGTGTTGTGTTTGAGTTAATTAAGACTTGTTTGCTTATTTGGTTTTGTTTCTCAGTTTATGTGGGGGTATTATTTGCTTTTGGGGCTGCAATTGATATTTAACCATTTGTTAATACATCCTGTAAAGCGTAAAATAGAAACATGATACATTACTGAACATAATGAAACATTTCTGAGTAAACATTTAATTAATAAATAAATCACTAAAAGAAGTAGAACCATTACTTTTGGTTCTTAGATTCAGGATAATATTGCATGGTTTTTTAAATAATTTCCACTGGGAACAAAAATGAAAATTCTTATAATAGTAAGAACAATAGAATCTTTTTGCTACTTTCAGGAATTTGGAAACAGCAGACATCATTTAAGATTTTAGAAATAAGCTATTGGATGTCTATTTTAATTTACTTGAAGAGAATTCATTAAAAGTTATAGCAGAGGCAAAAAGGCAGGCAAAATTAGACACCAGTGTGTAAGTAGTAACCCATAGTGATTTACCTATTATTTAAGGACATAAAATGAAATTGGCTGTTATGGGGAATAACTATTACAAGGTTAAACCCAGTATATCGTAGTGGTAACTTATGATAAACCAATATTAGATATAATAGAATAATCATAGGAAGAAAACCCTACATAGCAATGCTGGAGACTATATCCACAACATTACAAATAACCTAACCACCAATTGTCCTCCCCAAAATACTTACGTATCTATGCAGAGTGCACTTTTGCTGAGAAAACCAAGCCACTGTTAGAAAAAAAGTATGCCCTTCCAAGATCCATTATGCAGTAGGGACAATACTATTACAGAAGATGGGATAGCTATCTATTGATCTCACTGCACATATGAAGGGAACAAGAATTAAAAATAATAAAAGTCAACAGAAAAATTACAAAAATCAACACTCAGATTTTTTTTTAAAAAAACAACATTCTTTTGGAAACAAAATACAGCCTCACCAAACTGACATTTTCCAGTTGTAATAGGGCTATATACAATCATGTGAAAAAGAAAGTACATTCTCTTTGAATTTTATGGTTTTATGTATCAGGACATATATAACAATCATCTGGTCCTTGGCAGTTCTCAAAGGTAGATAAATACAATCTCAGATGAACAACAATACATGACATATTACACCATGCCATCATTTATTTTACAAAAAGAAAGCCAAAATGGTACTTTCTTTTTCACATGACTGATAGATGACATAAGTTTAGCTAGTATGACTAGTAGCCTTTGATGGGAATTAGGGAGTCGAAGTCAAGTATTTCTGATTGGTGTAAAATTGGAGCAAAATGATTTGACCTTGAAAATAGTCAAAATGATTTAACCTTGACCTATAAGAGATGCTGAAAAGACTTTTGAAAAGTATGTCCTGCTATCAACAATAATTTTATTTCAGGAATTTTGTAATTATCCAGTTCTGTAAACTAGAACTCAGGGACTCATGTAATCCAGTCGAATAGTTCAAATGCAAATAATTCCACTGATGTAGCTTCAGAAAAAGAAAGCTTTTAAACAGATAATGCAGTAACCTAGACGGGAAAGATGAATTCTTAGCATCAGATAGTTCTGATCCATTGGTGCTTTGTAATAGTTTACAGGGGCTACATCAATTTCACTGAGGGCTGCATCAGCATTATAGTTGTCCTCAAAGGGCCAGTTGTGTGTAAGACTACATATCATATTAAAGCCTCCCATCTCATGTTTCCTCGCATCTTTGGGGAAAAGTTTGCAAGGGGAGTGGCTATTTATAGGAAAATGCAGCACAGACGTAGGAAGAGAAGGAGAGAAAGATGGCAAGGCAGGGAGAGATGAGGACTAAAGAAACACATGATCCGAGCGCCTTCCGTCTTCTCCCTTTCCTTCCCTCGCCAGCCACTTGCTCTCAAGCAGAGGGCACTTTAGCCAGGCCTACCTGCCCCTGCGGTTACTGCTGCACACAGCTTCACACATTGGAGAGGCTCCCGCTGCCAGTCCTCTGCTAGCGCTGCTACCACCAACAAGACACGCAAAAAAATGAGGTAACTACTCAATCACCTCCTCCTACTAGTCTGCTTACAGGCCAGATCTAAACACATCATAGTCCAGATCTGGTCCGCGGGCCTTGAGTTTGATATGTCTGGACTACATTGATTGAACAGTAATAGGAATGGATAAGACAAGTCCAATTGATTGGAAAATTGGAATAATTTGTTGGTGGTAATCTTTCAATCAATTATGCTTTCTGCTACTTTCAGTGAAGCATAATGGCAACTGGGTTAACTCATTCTCATATTTTTATTGTGGTTATGCTTCATAATTTTATAACTTGCCAGATTTACAGCCACCCTTTGGTTTGTATTAAAAGTCAAACACAGGCTACACAAGTTTAAAAATACATTTTTATAAGTTTATATTTTAATAAGTTGGTTAACAGCTGGTCAAAAGCTATATGAGCATATTCTATAGCAGACATGTCAAACACAAGGCCCAGGGGCCGGATGTGGCCTGCAAAGTGGTTTCATGTGGCCCGCGAAGCCATCCTGGAAACAGTGAGGGAACGGCCCCCTCTTCCTTGGCCCTGGCCTAGGCCAGCTAGGAGCCAATGTATAATTTTGTGGTGGCCCTCTATGCTGAAACGCATTCAGTCTTAGCTCCATAAGCCCCCCCCCCGCATGGCCTGAGAGGAACAGTGAGGCTCCTCCAGTGGACCATGCCTTGGCACTTGCCCTGGTCCAACCCCCTTCTGCCAGAGACCCTCAGATCTGTCCCACTCCTGCCCAGGCCCCCACAGGCACCCTTGACACGAACAAGCTGGCCACCCCCACCCAGTAGGTCACACCCACTCCATCCATGCCCACCCAGTAGGCCACACCCACCCTGGCCACACCCACCCAGTCCCCTGAGGGCAACCGCAATGCTGATGCGGCCCTCAATGAAATTGAGTTTGACAACTCTGTTCTATAGCCTAAGAACCAAACTGAAGAAGACCCTGTAGAGCAGACATGTCAAACTCACGACATCATGTGACGTGGCGCAACGAATCGGGACGGTTTTGCCATTGCCAACAATGGGGTGGGCGCGGCTTCTGGATGACACCCCTGCTGTAGATAATCATGCAGTATTCATTTACTAAGTATTTTCCACAATCTAGAATTTTTTTGAACTTCTCATTTTACGCTTAGAGAAATAACTGAATAGAAATAAAATTAATGACTATTCCTTAAAATGCTATAAAGCACATTTTTAAATAAAAAAAGTTTATTGAAAGTCATATCATACTTTCTAAGGATTAAGTTTGTTGCCTTTAAAAAATCACTTGAAATTTGATAAAATTTCTTTTAATTTTAGAAATGTATTTGTGATTGCATCTCTCTCTCTCTCTCTCTCTCTCTCTCTCTCTCTCTCTCTCTCTCTCTCTCTCTCTCTCTCTCTCTCTCTCTCTCTCTCTCTCGTCAGCTTGTATTTGCATAATAGTGACCTGTACTTTGTCAATTTATTCCAAGAACTGCTTATATGATGTCATCAGGGTTAAAGCCAATCAAAATACAGAACAGTTTCCAGTGGCTGAAAATAAAGTCTTAGAATCTTATGAAACAAAATATTTATTTTGTCAGATGGTTTTAAAAAGGCAGTAGTCAAGAACTCATTAATATTTTGTGAACTGGTATTTACCCAGTGCTGTCACTAGAGTATAGTTTTCGTTATTCTTCTTGATAGAACAGGCTATCTCCTTTAGGAAGTCATCATTGTTTTCCACAAGACAGAATGTGCCCTTTTCCACAAACACATACTTGTTTATTACATGATAGAGATGACTGCAATATTGACCTAATTGATTTGCCAAGAACAATCTTCCTTAAGTGGAGTTTTCCACTTAGATTAAATTAACTTTGGTGAATAGAAGCTATCCCACCTGGGAATTCTGAGATACTGTATAGTGCAATATATCTGACAGGGAGGTTGGCTTACTGTTATCAACAATGACAAATATACATGAATAGCTACTGTTTTTAGAAGAACAAGTTGAACAGAGGTTAGAGAAGGACATCCACCTGCACAATGAGTTGGAAGCTTAAGAAATTCGTTCTTCCTGTCCTAGAATAGCATCACCCCGGAGGTACATGTGGCTCCCACTCTCCAAGTGTTCCGGAAGGCCCTTAAGATCTGGCTCTGCTCCCAGGCTGCATTTGGGGTCCTGATGGAACCACTGTTGTGTTTGGTTAATATTATGGTTGTTTTCATCTCTGGGCAGTTAAGTTTTGTTATATTTTAAACTGGGTTTCAGTTATATATTTGATTTTTTTGTAAGTTGCCCAGGATCCTTGTAGAATCAGATGGCCTTAAAAAAATAAAATAGCTTAGTGATTTTTCTCCTTTTGCAATTGAAAAAATGTCCAAGTTGTATCAGAATTTTTTCCTGGTTAACACCATTCTAAGAGATCTCTATATGTCCTATATGTAGAGACCTCTATATATAGGGAGGTTTAAATTTTTTTCAGGCTGTAGAACTTGTTAAAAAAAAAATCTCAGAATTCCAAATTAAGAGACAAACTGTAGTGACAGAGAACTGGTTGTGTTTCATTGAAGTTTATTATTATTACTTTTTTGCCCTTATTTTCCCCCATCAGCTTACGTGGAACTCCATTCAATTTTTGAAAAACCCTAGGTTTGCTCAGAACAGTTTATAAAACCCTGCTAGGAATTAGCAACCATTTCACTGCATTTTAGAAAGGGAATATTCCTGCAGAGGTGGTCCTCAAGTTGCAACTGTAATGGAGCCTGCCTATTACAATTAAAGTCATGACAGTTGTAAAGTGGGTCAGCCATTTTTTTAAATGATCTTTTTTCCAGCAATCGCTACCATGGTTAAGCAAACCTATGGTTCGTTATATGCCAGTTTTGCCAAAACCGTTGTAAAACATGGTCATATTACTGTGGGACACTGCAAATGACTGTAAATGCCAAGCACCTGAAGTATGGTTGTTTTCACAGGGGGAATGACTGTGAAAATTTTGAATCTGAGTTGTAAGTGCCCTGCCCAGATAGGTCTGTTGTAACTTCAAACAGTTGCTTAGAGACCAGCTGTAAATCAAGGATTACTTCTACTCATAATTTTTTTCTGCCTCTTGATGTTTCATACCTCTCTTTTTACACAATATTTTAACCAATTAGGACAGATCTTTCCCCATTCAATTGAGTGTATGTAGAAAGAGGTTTGATGGCTAGATACTTTCTGATTTGCCAGCTAGACTTCTGATGTCAGAGATGGAGCATGTCACTTGACTGGATAAAACAACAGTCAACTCCCCTAAGGGGCTGGCCTTAGCTGTCTATATTTTCTATAAAACTGGGAAACTATTACTCCAAAACTAAACAAACAGAATACTCTATCTGGAAGCATCAAAATAAAGGGACAAAACATTGTCAAGATATCGTCTTTGAAATGAATCTTCCCTATGTTCTAAAACGCAGGATCATGATTAAGCAGGTAGAATGTATATTGCTAATTATAGATTTTATTCAGAATGTTTTGTGATAATTGCTTTTTGGCTTTGTCCCCTCACCCCAGTTTTTTTTAAAATAAACATTAAGACTGCACAATTATAGCATATCTCTTCTGTTTTCAGGATTATTATTTTTTTAAACAAGTATATAAGCAGAGTGATCTTTTCTATTTGTTGTTGCTGTTGTTAAAGTTGGGCTGAAGAGAAAAAGGAGCCAAGTGTACCTTAGCTGAAAAAACTGAGATTCATCCTGATTGGTTTTAGGTTACTTTTTGAAGAAAGGCTCAGTAATGGAATGGATTTTGCTTTCAAAAAGGAAACACTGAAATAGAATATACGTACCTAAAGATTAGATTACTATTTTGAATAACTATTTGAATTTACAAATGCAAAGCTCTGTTCTGAATACTGGCCACAAAGTATAAGTACTTCTTTAATGTTATTATATTTATTATTTGGATAGTTAATGAGCAGCAAAACTGACAATCATTAGATGAATCAGTAGATGGTTTTTTTGCAATATATTATATAGACGTTTGTTTTTAATTATCACATCTGAAAAAACAAGTTTGTAAATAAGGACTAGTCAACTCTAGTTCCTTCTCACAAAAAGGACCAAAAACAGTAAGAACTTAGCTAATGAGTTCTTTTTATTTCTTTTAAGACAAGAAATACATGGAAATTTCCAGGAGGCTTGTCTGAACCAGGTGAAGACATTGGTAAGCATTTGGCTATTGAAATTATTACATGTTATAAATTGGTGCCAAAACTTGCAGATTTGAGAACTTAGTTGTGATTTGTGATACCTCAAAGGCTCTCTTCAAATAGGATTTATAAACACTTCAAAGTAGTCATGTTCAAAATTTAGTTGAAATTTTCTTATGAAGATTCGGGATTTCTAGTTGTAACTGAGTAAATGAGTTATTCTATACTGAATCAAAACAGCTGGTATTATTATTTAATACAAATATTTTCTTATATATTTTATAGAGTATCTCATATTCAATGTGGCTGTTGTCCAGTTAAATTATGGAGATATCCATTATTACTTGAACAGTAAAGACACGTCTTGTTAAATAAAGGCTAAACAGCAATTTGCAGATTGGCTTATTATTCAGCCTTTTTAGAAATGGTTAAATAATAGCACTGATAACAACTGTCTTATTGGAATGGTTGCTAATTTAGCTACCTCAAAAATGGAAGTAATGACACCCATGAAAAGGGAAACCATGCTTTGCTAATAAGATAATTAAGTCTGTATATATCCCCTTAATTTCATATATGAAGGGAGATTGAGGAAATTAATCTGAGGTGTTAAATTAAACAGCTGCTGAAAGGTATCCTCAAAGTACTTGGGACATTACTTTTCATTAGGGACTTTAAAGCTCTCTATATAAACATTTGATATCATAAATCCCCAGCTAATTTGGAGGGGAGGATGGCAGTACAGGTAGTCCTCGTCTTACAATCACATTTGAGCCCAAAATTTCTATTGCTAAGCGAGTGAGTTTTGCCCCATTTAAGAACTTTCTTGCCATATTTGTTAAGTGAATCACTGCAGTTACGTTAGTAATACAGTTGTTAAGTGAATCTGGCTTCCTCATTGACTGCTTGTCAGAAGGTTGCAAAAGATGATCACATGACCCTGGGACATTGCAGCAATCATAAATATAAGTCAATTGTTAAGCATCTGAATTTTGATCACATGACTATGGGGATGCTGCAATGTTCATAAGTGTGAAAAATGATCATAAATCACTTTTTTCAGTGCCGTTGTAACTTTGAACGGTCACTAAACAAACTGTTGTAAGTCAAAGATTACTATATTAGGACTCTGAATCATAATTAATTTTCTGTTTTTTTGGTTTTGTAAATGTTTATAATATCATCACTTTGGTAAATGTTTCAGAAAGCCCAAATGTATCAGTTTAATGGCAGTTGCTCCCAAGTAATGTATTCCTGGATATAAATTTTTTGCTATGGCCCTGAATGTTTGTATAGAAGTTGTATTGTGGCTAGTACTGCTTATTCCTCTCAAGAATGTATCCTAAGTTGAAATGTAGTGGTTTCAAACCAAAAATCACACAGTTGAGTTTCTCTTGCTCTCCTGCTAAATGCATCCTCCCAAATCTGTTGTGGAGGGTCTCTGAGTCTTTTAGAACAAATCTTGGGAGGGCAAGGGGATAGATAATAAACCTGGTCAATTAAAAATACCTCTTTTATCAATATTTAGACACAAGTAGTAACACTCAATTCAATCTGATGACAATTAAATAAATGATTGCCAAATAATATATTTATTGCCAAAAATATTCAAAAAGATAACAATATCTCATTTTTAGTAACAGCAGTACACTCACATTGCACTGAAAATAAAAAAATGAAAATCATTAAGTTATGCTTGTTACATACATTAATAAGTAATTAAACAATATTATGTTGCATTAGTTTTAAAATGCATAGATAACTTTGACCAACTGTTTTCTACTAGAAGCTTTCAAATTTAAAATATATATCTTTTTTAAAGTGGCTTCAACAATTATTTTAGAATATAATTAATTGTAGAAAGTAAGGAAGATAACCTTGACAGAGATAAGCAAGAGCTGTTGCCAAGAGAAAAAAGGCTAAAGCATTTAAATCCAGAAGAGTGAGATAACATTTGGAAGTCGCTCAGGCAAACACTTCCCTAATTGACTGAATTAGGGGCAAGGAGTTACAACACAATTGGACATGTAAGATCGATGTCAGCTTCATTAGGTGGACCTAATGAAACTCTACAGGAAGCCTAAAACTACTTTTATTGAGAGTGGCTATAATAGTAGTCTAGACAATGGCTTCTGCATATCTCTGCCAAGGTTATCTTCCTTACTCTCTACAGCAGTGGCTCCCAACCTTTTGGGCACCGGAGGTTTTGTGTGCTGCCTGCCTCCCATGGATGGAGCTTGTTTGCTCGCCCTGGTTGCTGGCATGCTGCAGACCGGTGCTGGTCCATAGACCGGGGGTTGGGGACCCCTGCTCTACAGCAACTGAATTCTCTATGGTTGTTTGCATGAGGATTTTTAAAAAAACAATATTTTACAAGCTCCTAAAATTATAATTTCTGACTAAAACTACTGGTAGTATATAAGTTCATTCTTCCTCTTAGGGAATACAGCAGTTCGAGAAGTTTTTGAAGAGACAGGTATAACATCTGAATTCAAGTCTATTCTAAGCATGCGACAGCAACATGGGCAACCTGGAGCCTTTGGGAAATCAGATATGTACATAATCTGCCGTCTGGAGCCTTCTTCTTTCCGTATTAATTTCTGCCAGCAGGAGTGCCTAAGATGTGAATGGATGGACCTAACAGACCTTTCCAAGACAAAAGAAACTACTCCAATCACTAGTAATATAGCTAGATTACTTCTCTATGGATATCGGGAAGGGTTTGATCAAATCGATATATCTATGAGAGAATTCCCAGCTATGTATACAGGTCTTTTCTATAAGTTGTATCACAGAGAGCTGCCAGAAAGTTATAGAAATGTGACAGATATGCAGTAAAATTAATATTCTTTGTAATCAAAAATTATTTGAAATCAAAATCTGTGTTTGTGTGTTTTGTTCCAGATTAAAATCAATATTTATGTTTATGTCTTTTAAAAAGATATTACCCTTAAATAATAAAGACTCTGTAGACTATGCATATTTTAAAACTTTTTTCACATTCAATAGCCTAAATCAGAATGTCCACTCCTAAACCATCAGATTAAAATGATTATAAAATCTAGTTGGAAATACTTAACTAACCAACATATTTAAATGTAACCATGTCTTCATGCCACACTCACGTTAGTATGCACATACAAACACCCTTATATAAATGGAGAATGAAAATGGTTTTCAGTGTTACAGTTCTACACATTAATGATATGAAATCAATCAGCAAATATTGGAAAATATCACATTAATTTGCATTGTGGAGGAGGGAACATCTATTGTTACACAATATTTCATGAGCTGTGATATTCAAATCAACTTTTGGCAGACATTGGCAGAAAAAGAATAGCTTTCTGTCCTCGTCCAGTTTTTGGTCCTAGTTTGTACTGACCAGTTCGTTTCAGTGCAATGTACCAATCACAATATTTACGAGACCGATATGTGTTATAGTTATTAGATTCCAAGCGTTCAAAAAAGAAGCATTCATCTGTTACATATTTCTGTAAAAAAAAAAGAGGGAGGTATTATTCATAGGCTTTGTGAAAAAATAAAATGATTTATCAGATATGTTCTTCTGGCTGATTAACTATTTACCAAAATGATATAAATCACTTCATATAAAAGATATAATCAAATCTATATTGAGTTTAGATCAAATCATAACATTTTAATTGCAGATTTCCTCATTTACCCATCATCACACCCAAAAATACCATAAATAACTACTAAGTCTAAAGTAACTTAGTTAAAATTACTTAAGTCTAAAGTAACTGCTTTCTACAAATTAGTTTTCTTATTTCCATGTGAAAGATTAACATCCTTATGATTATGAGATTTTAGTAGGAGTATAGTAATGAACTAAAAAAAACTATAGCTGCAAATACTTGTTTTGGATTAATATTTTCTGAATACCAGGATATTGCATTGTGCCGTCAATCACATTAAAATCCTGTTTTAACTTTTAGAATATAAATGAGTAGCATTTAACCTGACCTAAAATTTAAGGACAATTAATATTTTATGAATTTAAATGAAATTATTCCAAATTTTTGGATTATTAACCATTTCATTAATAATATAAAACAGGTAGATAGAGTTACTGAAGAACAAACAACAGTGAAGTAACTGAAGTGTATGGAGCTGGCGTATGAAGTGTATGTGGAGGGTTTCACATATAAACAAATAATTTAGGGATCATTACTGTGTGTTTTTATACCAAGAATATTAGGAAACAACAGTTCTTCAGTAATTTGCCACTGAAAATCAGAAGTATTATTATGAGGGCAATGAAAACCACGAGAAAGACCTTCTGTTATCCTGTTCTGATATAATGTATAAATAAATCACATGGAATAGTTGAACTTGCAGCATTTCAGATTTGAAAGTGAAATGCTGCTTTGGAGTGCATGGAGGAATGAGTGTAACACCTGCTCGCAGTGCCCTGAACCCAAAGCTCCTTTTCCCAGGTTTGCATGGCAGCTGCAGGATCAGAAAAATATTTTTTGGGTTTAAAGAGTTACAAACAGGTGCTACATGTGCCTTCAAATCTGACGTGGTATAGAGTCCTATAGATTGAATATCCTTTAAATTAAATCTAATTCCCTCATCAGTTTACTCAAAAATCAGACAAATATGACTCCATTATAGTAAAAACTAACATGTTGAAGACGAGAAGAAGTGCTGTGGGATAAGAACTTTAAAAGTAGAAACTATGCTAACCCATAAGTTCTTCAAAAATTTAGCATTTTTAGAAAGCATTCTGCAATACCCTAGAAATTAGCTTCCATAAAATATAAGATCTTTATACTAAACCCTGCTATCCTAAAGCCTTAATTATGAGAACGGAAAAAATAAAATGTATTGACAACTGCTTACCAATGCTAACAATCGTCCATCTTCATTCATAGCAAGGAAACGGTTTGCACGTATACCTTTGATTGACACCACACCTCTCTCTTCAGCTTGAAGTATTAATTTGACTGCACAGAAGGAAAAAGACAATCATGATGTTTGAATAATTTATCAGCGTACAAGCTATTCTTCAGTTTGCTTAAAATTAAGTATGGATACATATATGGAAAATCAATCAATCATACATGTATATGTATCCTAAAGCCTAAAAACATTGAGTTTAACTTTTGTACAAATAAGATACATTATTTAAACAATGTACATAATAGGTATTGATAAATTAATTGAACGTCCCATATGAACTAAAATAGAAAATCTAATAGAGCACACTTTCTTGAAATAATATTTTCTATCCCCGCCTAAAAATCTGTGGCAATACTTTGGAATAATCCCAAGTAAGTCATCCAGTTTATTGCTTAAAATATATAAATATTGAAAGCCACACAATATGAACTTTGTAGAACCAACATGGACGTTGTAGTATGGTGTAATTGCTAACCAACATAGTTATTTTGTGTTTTAATTTGGCTTATTTTTCTCTCTTTTAAATGATGTTAATGGTTTACCAGACCATTGCAGACTGGAATGTAGAAAGGTCTTTGTTCTGTTACTGGAACATTCCTAAACTGCAAGATAAAAACTGTCTTTGCTCTCCAAGTCAGGATAGGATAGAACTATGTTGGTTTTAACAGGATGACTATAGTTTGTCTTGGATAAGAGAGTTAATTGTCATCTAGTGTGTCTCTTCATGAATTCCAAATAGTCTATCCTTATTAACATGCTAAATTTTAACATCCCGAAATTGTAATAAAAGGATCTCCTGTCTTGGTCTGTTTCATTGGAAAAATATGCATACCGAGGCACAAGCTTAGAGTTAGATTTGGCCTTCACTACTGTATTGCCATCACATTTCTATTACAAACATAGGGAAGTAATTGGGAGAAATCCAAATCCAAGACATTCAGGCACAAAATAGTAGAGGGAAAAAAAATCTCTGATCCTTCCCTTTTTTAAAATATATTTTATTGATTTTTAACAATAACAGTCTTTAGTGCTTAGCAAATAGCGTGTTGTCTGAGTTTAAAAATAATCAATAATACTTAATTTCTATAATTCCATAGTTAATATATTAATTAATGATATGTTTCCTTGATCTTCTCTTTTTCCAGTAGCATTCTCCTTTTGTCAACATTAAACAAATATAATTCTTAATACTTTCAATGCATATAAGGTTAATTATAAACATTTTTCTTGTGTTTGTACAAATAACAATAACATCAACATATAACATCTTTTCTAATCGGCTTATGTTTCAGTTGTATTTATAAAGGTCATCTTATTGAATCACTATGTGTCCTGTTTTCAGGACACATTATTTAAGCTTAGTTTCCTCTCAGTGTTCAAACCATTCTTATCAGTCATGATTTTTTCAATGTTAATTACATTTAAATATCCAAACTTTTCATTCATATACACCATCCCAATACCGTATATGCCAGCGTATAAGACGATTTCCGGAAGCGCTAAACTCGGCACCAAAGACGGCGGTCGTCTTATACTCCGAGTCGTCTTATACGCCGGAAATACTGGTAGTTTCCAGCATATAAGACGATATTCTAGGAATGCAGCTCAGCGATAAAGACAGGGGTCATCTTATACGCCGGGTCGCCTAATACGCCGGCATATACGCTATTTTTACATTTCATATATTATGAAAGATACTATACTACTTTTATATCTTATCTCTCTTACTGTAGGGCCCCTTTATATCCAAAATGTATCTATTCTTTTAAGCATATTCAAACAAGTGTTTAATCATATAGTACTCCATCTGGTAAATCGAGTCAAATCTCTTGAATCTAACTCTTGCCTTCTTCTTTTGTCAAGTAGCTTTCCAAGTCAATATGTTCAGCTTGCCAGGGGGTTCTTGTGAATGTTGTTGTGAATAGGAAAGACAAATTAAGTAGGACGTGTGTTTTTTTCCTCCTAAACAGTAATGATTCTCCTGGCAGCTCTATAATCCATTTTGTTAGATCTTCTTTCTTATCCTCAAGTTTGTTTTGGAATCCTGAAAGATAAAATATCTTTTCCATTTTCATTGTTGTAGCAAAATCTTGCGGATTTTCTTTTTCTTTTCTTTTTTGTATTAAGTTGTAATTCTGTTCATTTGCAGCTTCCCTATTTGGATCACTCTCCTGTAGTTTGTGTTCTGTTATCTGATTTGTTTGTTCATTCTTTTTCATCGTTTTCTGAGAGTTTTTTAATTGTAAGTTTAGGTTAAAGATGTGCTCATTTATATATCAAAGTTGTTTTTAATCTCATCATGATTTGAAACAATTGTCATTTGAATCTGTCACAGCATTGCATACATTTTCTCCTGGAATGAATTTGTCTTGTCTTGGAGTATTGCTCCTGCAGATCTCTGATGTTGCAGGCTGGAGCCTTCAGAAGGGAATATTAGGTGTGGTTTCCTGTCACTTTTAGATAGATATGCAATATCCATTTTATCTCTCCCCTCCAGATAGTCTTTCATTGGTACCATAGTTTCTGTAATTAGCCTTGTCAAACCAGCCAATCTTAAAAGCCAAACCATCAAATCTTATATAGTTCTTTTCTTTATATATGGTTTTTACAATCCAATGTGTTTCCAATTGTCAAAGTGCCATTGAAAGCAGTATTTTGTAACCGTTCTTCTGTTCAGGGGTCTTACACTTGTCAGCCAGCCAAAATTTTAGTCCAGAGTGTTTAACCACTTAAGAGCTTTCCAGTAAACTCCCCCCTAGAAGACTAGCCAAAAGTCAAGGTTTTTCTTTCTCTGCAAACAATTCTTGAGCCTAGAAATCACAGCTCAGTAAGTATTTATAATCCCAGAAGGTCAACAGTTTTTAAAATAAATGTAGTTCTCACTCTATAGTAGATAGCCCAGTGTATTTTTCTCCTTTGTTCCCAGCTGTTCTCTATTTGAGTAGAAGTCACTGAGGTTCAAAGGAACAAGTTGTTCTCTATTTCTGGGTGTCTTGCCAATTTCTGAGCTTTATGCTCTAATCCTCCACTAAATGTCAGTAGCTATTCATTTTCCAACTTTTAAAACAAAGAATTATTTTCGTATATTTTCATCAATACGCTTTCCAATATAAAATCTTAACAGATTTCATAATTTTCAGATTTATCCAGACTGTAGTATTATTAATTTCATTTCAATATATTTCTGTCCCCCATAAAAATTAATTTGTTGCTTCCGTCTATGGAAGGGTGGGAGTGCGTGGGATTTTTTGTTTCTTGGGGATCTTTTTCAGGAAATCAATTACAAAATAGGAGAGAGAAGATTGATATTCTCACCCAGTTCCAAGCACGTTCTGATTAATGCTTTTGGACTTCGGCTGCCGGTAGCTTGGACTAGTCACCGAGGTGTAGCTAGCCTTTCTCCTGTCGGATTGGAGGACTTCCCCCGGAGAGAGAGAATTTAACCTCTTCACAATCCCATTTTTTTTCTCATTAGGAATAATAGAATAACAGAGTTGAAAGGTACCTTGGAGGTCTTCTAGTCCAGCCCCCTGCTCAGACAGGAGATCCTAAGACCCTCCGTAATTCTGGGTTACTTCTCTCCTTGATTAGTTTCCATCCATTGCTTCTTGTCTTGCCTTCTGCTGCTTTGGAAAATAGGTTGATCCCTCTTTTTGTGGCAACGCCTAAAATATTGGAACACTGTTGTCATACCACCCCAGTCCTTCTTTTCACTAGACTAGACATATCCAATTCCTGCAATCGTTCTTCAATCCCCTAATCATAAATTATGAATTAATAATGAATTAGTGACTCTCATTTTGACAAGGATTCTAGACTTAGAATATGTTTCTTATATCCAGTTAAATTACTAATTCAAAAATGATAAAATTACCAGTTACTGTACTTTCTGAGTAAAATCAGCACAGAGAGGAATTTCTTTGAAGAAAAAGATCTGGCTGGCAGCATTACTAAATAGGCAGTCCCCATGTGTGGGGGAGGGAGCAGTTGGATTCAGAGGGCAAAACACACCATATCCCATCCTGTTACAAATGCAAATTTGGGGCCTGTTGCATCATATGGAGGCTGCACCCACCCCAGCTCCACCAATGCAAAGAAAGTCATGATACGTCGCGACACATCATGTGACGCGGCGAGTTTGACACCTGTGATTTATACCAATCATAAACCAAATATGCTCCAGAAATGCAAAATAGAGCTTCCTCCCTGGGTATTACACTTTTTTTTAAAAAAAAATGGCCCTAAATAGAAATGTGGACCTATTTCTTTTGCTGCTCGAATATGATTTGGTAGTCTCATGATTAATATTCTCCCATACACTTTCTATTCCAGACTTAACATTCCAAGGCTACTTATTGTTAAACAATGCATCCGTTTCATGATACCAGTTATATATTATTAGGCCCCCTATTTATAAGTTTGGCTTTGCTACTCTAGTTTACGACTATTGTTGGAAACACCATGTTTATTTGTTACCACCAAGCATATATAATAAAGATATAATAAATGAGTAAAAACATATTTCAACAGCTACCTGGAAATCTGAGACTAATTAACAGAAAGGAAAGCAAGTTAACTGTTCCACTGATTGGGAAAACAATGAATTAATACTTTCATGTATTCATGAATTTAATTTCTACAATGCCTTATTAGATATAGATAGATACTAGAACATTTCTCTCACAACATTTTTAATATAGAAGAAATATCTACCAACACCTACAATTAACATAATATAGTTCTTCATTCAGAAATGTGGGAAATGTACTATAAATACACTTGCAACATTTTATAAACATTGCTTGGATTTAATAGCATTATAATTTTGCTAATGAAAAAAGGGATTTGCTAAGGTGTGTTCTATAGCAAATTATATATTGATATATAACCAAACCTTAAAACTTTTAAATCCTAAAATTGAATATAAAATTTGTGACTACTTCCTTAAAGTAAATGCTTTGTTAGTGTTTGAAATAATGTAAAGAACCAAACAATCATTGGCTTTTGCAAACTGAAAGATTGTCATTTGTAAAAAATACATTGG